TATCTTTTTATTCTAGCATAGTTGAGGCAGTTGATAGTGGTAAGGATTGTGATGTTGTGTACCTTTACTTTAGCAAAGCTTTTGATACAGTGCCACATAAAAGACTGATTAAAAAGATAGAGTCTCATGGTATCGGGGGTGCTAAATTAAGCTGGATTAGGGCATGGCTATACCAAAGGAAACAGAGAGTTAGTATCAATGGAATCAATTGTGGAGTGCCTCAAGGCTCTGTCCTGGGACCTCTGTTGTTTATAATATATATAAATGATTTAGATTCAGGTCTGAGTAGCAACATTTGCAAATTTGCCGATGATACGAAAATCGGTAGGGAAATTAATTCGGAGGAGGACTCACTATCACTTCAAGTTGATCTAGATAGGGTTTTGAAATGGTCAAAGGATTGGCAGATGCAGTTTAATGCTGATAAATGTAAAGTTCTGAGGTTAGGTAATGATGATAGAGTTACAAGATACGAGCTAGATGGTGTTGAGATTGCGAAGTCGGATTGCGAAAGGGATCTGGGAGTTATGATTAGTAAGAATTTAAAACAAAAAGATCAATGCATAAATGTTCGTAATAAGGCAAATCGGACACTTGGATTTATTAATCGCAGCATTAGTAACAAGACACCTGGTGTGGTTCTCAAGCTATATCTTGCTTTAGTTAGGGCCCCATTTAGATTATGCAGTTCAGTTTTGGTCGCCATATTATAAAATGGATATAAATTCACTTGAACGTGTCCAGCATAGGATGACTAAGTTAATTCCCCAAATTAGAAATCTTTCATATGAAGAAAGATTAACAAAGCTTAAGTTGCATTCACTGGAAAGGCGAAGAGTTAGGGGTGACATGACAGAGGTTTACAAGTGGGTGAATGGACATAACAAAGGGGATATTAATAGGGTATTAAAAGTATCAACACAAGACAGAACACGAAACAACTGGTATCAATTGGATAAGTTTAGATTTAGGAAAGACTTGGGTAAATACTGGTTCAGTAACAGGGTTGTTGATTTGTGGAACCAATTACCGTGTAACGTGGTGGAGGTGGGGTCCCTCGATTGTTTCAAGCGCAGGTTGGACAAGTATATGAGTGGGATATGGTGGTTATAAATAGGAGCTGCCTCGTATGGGCCAATAGGCCTTCTGCAGTTGCCTTTGTTCTTATGTTCTCACGCTATTGCATTGCTCTTCAACAAGTCACTTGAACTCCAAACCTTTCCAGATGTTCTAAAAAAAGCGAGAGTGACGCCTGTCCACAAATGTGGTGATCCCACAGATGTTAACAACTACAGACCTATATCAATCCTCCCAAACTTGTCAAAAAATTTTGAAAAACTAATCTATAAGCAGCTTCACTCTTATCTAGCCAAACACAATATACTTAGCCCTTGCCAATATGGCTTCAGACCCAAAAAAAAAGCACTAACGATGCACTTATTAGTATACTTAACTCGATTCATACAGCTCTTGATAAGAATTAGTTCCCTGTTGGGTTATTTGTGGACCTGCGTAAAGCTTTTGATACTGTCAACCACCAAAACCTTCTTCTTAAACTACATCATTATGGAGTCAGAGGACACTCCCTGCAATACCTCAAATCCTACCTTACTGACAGGCTCCAGTATGTTTCTGTGAATAATTCAATTTCTCCCATCCTACTTCAGATTCAGATTCAGATGTTTATTCAGGTAAGGCATATACATACAAGTGATGTTACATTAATGGATTGATATATAGATAGAGCTAGTACATACAATGCCTAAAGCCACTATTACGCAATGCGTTTCGGGCAAGAAAAACATTAATATCTAGAACTTAATACTAATTGAGCATAAAGAATAAAAAGTGTTGAGAACAAATACAAATAAAGATAAAAAAAAAAAAAAAAAGGGGGAACATGACTGAAAAAGCAGCACAAATACAATAGGTTGACAAACAGTGTTGATTAAAAAAAAGAAAAGAAAAAGAAAAGAAAAGAAAAGAAAAGAAAAGAAAAGAAAAGAAAAAGAAAAAAGAAAAGAAAAGAAAAGAAAAGAAAAGAAAAGAAAAGAAAAAGAAAAAGAAAAGAAAAAGAAAAAGAAAAACTTATCAACATTGGTGTTCCTCAGGGCAGCATACTTGGCCCTCTCCTCTTTCTCATCTACATTAATGACCTTCCAAATGCCTCCCAACACCTCAAACCAATTATATTTGCTGACGACACAACCTTCATTTACTCCAGTCCTGACCCCCTTGCTCTAAATGCCACAGTAAATACTGAGCTAAATAAAGTCGAAAATACTGAGCTAAATAAAGTTTTCGAAAAGCTAATTTTAATAGCCTAAGAAATTTTTTGGGTCAAATAGATTGGAAACTCTTGGGTATGGGGTGGCGGCCGGTCTTAGAGCGAGACATGAACCCAGCGATAGGTGACGTAAAAGGGGATTTCGATGTGGATTTAATATATAACTCATTTAAGAATATTCAAAACAAAACACAGGAACGTAATATACCATACAAATTGAATAGGTCGAATACTAATGACCCAAAGTGGATAACAAATAATTTAAAAAACCTTATAGGTAAAAAGAGAGCTTGGTACAAAAGGATTAAGAATGGGGAAGTCAGGTTAGAACAGGAATTCATACAACTGGTTAGAAATGTTAAAAAAGAGATTAGGAAAGCAAAAAGAAACTATGAAGTTCGCATAGCAGAGCAAGCAAAGTCAAATCCTAAAGGGTTTTTTCCGTTATATCGAACTTAGACTAGGGAAAGGATAGGTCCATTAAAATCTGAGACAGGTCAAATATCGGATAATGACAAGGAGATGAGTAGTATTTTTAACAAATATTTTATATCTGTATTTACTAAAGAAGAACTTAACAATATGCCTTCAGCCGAACAAGTCTATGTGGGTGGGGATGAGGACAGGTTGACTAGTTTAGCAGTTACCAGGGAGGATGTAATTAAACAATTAATAAAATAAAAATAAAATGTTTATTTAGGTAAGGTACATACATACAATAAATTTTTACAAAGATTGGTTGACTTATAGGTAGAGCTAGTACATGTGCAAAACAATTACAAAAACTAAAACCAAACAAATCCCCAGGGCTAGTACATGTACAAAACAATTAGCAAAACTAAAACCAAACAAATCCCCAGGGCCGGATGAAGTGTTTGCCAGGGTGTTTAAAGAATCCAAAGAGGAGCTTTCCGAGCCACTGTCTACTATATTTAATAAATCAATAGAGTCAGGCAGAGTGCCAGAGTCATGGAAGGTAGCTAATGTGGTACCAATTTTTACGAAAGGAGATAGATCACTTGCGTCAAACTATCGGCCAATTAGCCTAACGTCTATTGTGGGAAAGTCACTTGAATCAATAATTGCAAATACAATTCGTCTCCATCTTGAAAAACATAAATTAATAAATGAGTCGCAACATGGTTTTACAAATGGCCGTTCATGTTTAACAAATTTGCTAACTTTTTATTCCAGCATAGTTGAGGCAGTTGATAGTGGTAAGGGTTGTGATGTTGTGTACCTTGACTTTAGCAAAGCTTTCGATACAGTGCCACATGAAAGACTAATTAAAAAAATAGAAGCTCATGGTATTGGGGGTGCTATATTAACTTGGATTAGGGCATGGCTATTCCAAAGGAAACAGAGAGTTAGTATAATAATAATAATAATAATAATAATAATAATAATTTTTATTTAGGTAAAGGTACATACATAAAGAGATTTTACAAAGTTTGTTGGCTTTATAGATAGAGCTAGTACATACAATGCCTAAAACCACTATTACGCAAAGCGTTTCGGGCAGGAAAAAACACTAATGACTAAAGCTTAAAACTAATGGGTAAAAAGAATAAAATGTGTTGAGTACAAATAAAAATAGAGGTAAAAGAGGGGGGAACATTGTTGAAAAAGCAGCACAAATACAATTACAAATTGCTACAGAAAATTACATTCAAACAGCGTTGATTTGAAAAACAAAAAAAAAAAAACAAAAAACATAGATGGGTTGACAACAGAGGGGTAAGGTGGGTTACAGGGAATTTATTAGGTATAGCTTCGTTTTTAACTTAAACTGGTTGAGAGAGGTACAGTCTTTAACATGGTTGGGAAGGTCATTCCACATTCTGGGCCCCTTGATTTGTAGAGCATTTCTAGCTTGATTAAGTCGTACTCTAGGAATATCAAAACTGTATTTATTTCTGGTGTGGTGCTCATGGGTTCTGTTACAACCTTCTATGAAGCTTTTGAGATCAGGATTGGCATTATAGTTTAGCGTTTTATATATGTATAATACACATGAGAGAATGTGCAGTGACTTAATGTCTAACATATTCAGAGATTTGAGTAGGGGTACCGAGTGATGTCTGGGGCCAGAATTGGATATTGTCCTAATAGCAGCTTTGTGTTGAGTAATTAGAGGACGTAAGTGATTTTGGGTAGTAGAGCCTCAAGCACAAATACCATAGTTGAGATATGGATAGATAAGGGAGTAATAGAGAGTCACCAGGGCAGGGCGTGGTACATAATATCTGATCTTAGAAAGAATGCCCACAGTTTTTGAAACTTTTTTTGATATGTTTAGAATGTGTCCCTGGAAATTCAGCTTGTGATCAATGAGAATGCTAAGGAATTTGCCATTTAATTTGTTACAAATTTGGGTATTGTTTATTTTGAGATTTATTTGATTAGAGGATTTATTGCCAAACAGAATATAGAAAGTTTTGTCAATGTTAAGGGTGAGTTTGTTAGCAGTTAGCCACAGATGGACTTTATTTAGCTCAGTATTTACTGTGGCATTTAGAGCAAGGGGATCAGGACTGGAGTAAATGAAGGTTGTGTCGTCAGCAAATAGAATTGGTTTGAGGTGTTGGGAGGCATTTGGAAGGTCATTAATGTAGATGAGAAAGAGGAGAGGGCCAAGTATGCTGCCCTGGGGAACACCAATGTTGATGGGTAGGGTGAGAGAAATTGAATTATTCACAGAAACACATTGGCCATGTACGGTCTTGATGGGGTTGTCTTGGACTTGTTTGTGCGAAGGTCACCTGGCGTACCTCTGCCTGCGTCTGGCGTACCTCTGCCTGCGTCTATATATATAAATGGGGTTAAGTCAGAGTGGGATAATGTTGTTAGTGGAGTACCTCAGGGCTCTGTCCTGGGACCTCTGTTGTTTATAATATATATAAATGATTTAGATTCAGGTTTGAGTAGCAACATTTGCAAATTTGCTGATGATACGAAAATCGTTAGGGAAATTAATTCGGAGGAGGACTCACTATCACTTCAAGTTGATCTAGATAGGGTTTTGAAATGGTCAAATAATTGGCAAATGCAGTTTAATGCTGATAAATGTAAAGTTCTGAGGCTAGGTAATGATGATAGAGTTACAAGATACGAGCTAGATGGTGTTGAGATTGCGAAGTCGGATTGCGAAAGGGATCTGGGAGTTATGATTAGTAAGAATTTAAAACAAAAGGATCAATGCATGAATGTTCGAAATAAGGCGAATAGGACACTGGGATTTATTCATCGAAGCGTTAGTAACAAGACACCTGGTGTGGTTCTTAAGCTATATCTTTCTCTGGTTAGGCCCCATTTAGATTATGCAGTTCAGTTTTGGTCGCCGTATTATAGAATGGATATAAATTCACTTGAACGTGTCCAACGTAGGATGACTAAGTTAATTCCCCAAATTAGAAATCTTTCATATGAAGAAAGATTAACAAAGCTTAAGTTGCATTCACTGGAAAGGCGAAGAGTTAGGGGTGACATGATAGAGGTTTACAAGTGGATGAATGGACATAACAGGGGGGATATTACTAGGGCATTAAAAATATCAACACAAGACAGAACAGGAAACAATGGGTATAAATTGGATAAGTTTAGATTTAGGAAAGACTTGGGTAAATACTGGTTCAGTAACAGGGTTGTTGATTTGTGGAACCAAATCTAATCTTACCCTATTCCATTTAAATTGTAAATTTAATTGTATTCATCTATGTCATTTATTGAAATCAATTATTGATCTCATTTTGTTCTTTTAATTAAGTTCATTCTAATTATAGGTTAAAACTAAGCTAATTAAAATTTATTATCTTTAAGATTATTTTACTTTACAATTATCATTTATCAATTTTTTTTTTTTATATATTCATCTTGACAGTCTCTACTGATTTTTTTGTTCTCTCCACCAAACTTGTGTATCCTCCATGGCTATCTAGTGACCTTTATTGTACCTCTAATTGTTTTAATTCTTTTGTTTACTTGCATTTATTGTTGTGTTTTGCCATAATTATTCTCTAATTTTAGCAGACTCAATACTTTGTAAGCTCTTATTGTATTGTTATATTATTATATTGCTGTGTTTTGCTATAATAACTTTCTATTTTACAGCAGATTTAGTTTTCATCTGTTCCTGAAATTGCTTATCTTATTGTATCGTGACATTATCTTATCTATATGCTTACTGATATTGATCCAGATCGAAATCTTCTGTCCCATATCCACACAAATCAGCACATTGATCATCATTATTGCAGGTATTACACAGCAAATCTTGCGAAAAACAAACTCCTAAATAGCACCTGCTTATCAGTTTACAACCAAAATGTTAGGTCACTTGGTAAACATTTTGATGATATAAATGCACTTCTTACAGCACTAGGTACTAAATTATCTTTCATCATTTTAACAGAAACTTGGCTAAGTAATGACTATACCCAACTCTACAATTTAGCTGGTTATAAAGCCATTCATAACTGCAGGCCTAATAAAAAAGGTGGCGGTACAGCAATATATTACAAAGATACCTTCACTTGCAATAGTGTCATTAGTGATAGAGACGACTATTGTGAATATACCTTTGCCAAGTTCTCCAGTAAATCCCTCAAATCCTCCCTGATAATCGGTGCCATCTATAGATTTCCTAATACCAACATAGCTTTATTCTCTGACAATGTAAGGAATCTTATCATAAATAACAATCTCAACAAAAATCACATCATTCTGGGAGGTGATTTCAATATTGACCTGGGTCTTCAAAACAACCCTCAAGTTGACTATTTCCGTAACAGCATGCACTCCTGTATGCTAATCCCCACAATCACCAAGCCCACCCGAGTCACTCAAACATCTGCCACTACTCTGGATCACTTATGGACTAATATAACAGCTCCCCTTACATCTGGGGTAATTTATGACAGAACAACTGACCACTATCCTACCTTCCTCATAGCAAACATTGACACATCACCACCAGAAACCAAGAAACTTTCATTCAGGCTACATAGTGAATCAGCTTTAGGCAATCTCTCTAATGCACTTCACAATATTAACTGGGAATCTGAATTTAATAATTCACAGGATATAAACTCGTCAACTAACCTCTTTCTTTCCAAAACTCTAAGCCTCTACAACACTCACTGTCCCCTCCTTACCAAACAAGTAACTGATAAAAGAAAAAATAACCCGTGGCTCACAAGTGGCATAATTAAATCAATCAACAAAAAACATGAATATGAAAAGAAATTTAGGAGTGGCCTAGTTTCAACGGAAGTAGTTAAAAGGTACTCATCAGTGCTTACCAGTATCATAAGAAAAGCAAAACTTTCATATTATGAGACTAGATTCAAAGAAGCAAAAGGCAACATGAAAAGCACATGGAATACCATCTCTAATATCCTTGGAACTAAACAACACTCCCACAACCATATAACAATCTCTAAGGATGGCCTTACACTGTCATCTGACTTAGAAATGGCGAATGAATTTAATAGCTTCTTTTCATCGATTGGTGCTAACCTTGCAAGTAAAATCCCACAGACTCAGACACATATCAACACATATCTCTCAGGCAGCTATCCAAACTCTCTTCTCCTTTCACCAGTCAGCCCGACAGATGTTGTGTCCATCATACACTCACTAAAAACCAAAGCTGGGAACATCAGTGAAATCCCATCCATTGTATACAAGAGCGCCTCCCATGCCCTTGCGCCACCTATAGCTCTGCTGTTCAACAAATCCCTTGAGTGTCATACCTTCCCTGATATCCTTAAAAAAGCAAGAGTAACGCCAGTGCATAAAGGAGGTAATCCGGCAGACATAAACAACTATAGACCAATATCGAACCTACCCATACTATAAAAAATATTTGAAAAAATTATCTACAAACAGCTCTACTCCTATCTCGTAAAATTCGACATTCTTAGCTCCTGTCAGTTTGGCTTCCGTTCTCAAAAGAGTACCAACGATGCAATTATTAGTCTCCTTGATATAATTTACTCAGCCCTTGACAAATATGAGTTTCCGATTGGACTCTTCATTGACCTGAGAAAGGCCTTTGATACTGTTAATCACGATTACCTCTTATGTAAACTCCATCATTATGGAATCCGAGGCCATGCACTGGACTATATCCAATCCTATCTTAGTGATAGACACCAATGTGTAGCCATCAATAATATAACCTCTCCCATTCTACCAATAACCGTTGGAGTGGCAGCATCTTGGGGCCTCTTCTATTTCTTATATACATCAATGATCTGCCTAATGCCTCTAACATTCTGAAACCTATTTTGTTTGCTGATGATACTACCCTCATCTACTCCAACCCCAACCCACATACACTAAATGATGTTGTTAATAATGAAATAAAAAAAGTCCACTTATGGATGTCAACCAACAAACTAACACTTAACATAGAAAAGACCTACTACATCCTATTTGGAAGCAAATCTACAAATGCAATTCAGCTTCAGATAGACAATGTAAACATTAGTAATAAAAATGATGGAAAGTTTCTTGGCCTATTCCTAGACAAGAGACTCAACTTCAGTACCCACATACAACACATAACTAAGAAAGTATCTAAAACAGTTGGTATACTCTCCAAAATCAGATATTATGTACCTAACTCTCCTCTCATCTCTCTATATTTTGCACTAATCTATCCCTATCTCAACTATGGTCAGCTTTTAGACCACATTCAGACATATGAAACTACACAACGAGTAAAAGAGAACCTTGAAAATAACCCACAGAAGTTGAATTCCTTACTTAATGACATTAAGAGTAAAGAGTTCAAACCTCTCATTATGCAGGCGTTTGGAGCTCCGGAGTCGTCTTCCGTAAGAACAGAATACTTCAAAGTTGCAATACTAAACCTTTCCCTGCTTCAAAAGTTCCATAAGAAGTGTCACTCTGAAGGAATCAGCCTCAACTCTGGGCTTGTGAGTGTAGTAAACACGGCCTTGGTAGAACTGGTGAGGGAGGGCGGGCTGGTGCAGGACGAGTATACAGTCACCAGTCTTCACCCTACTGACCTCCGCCGCTACATGACAACTGACGTCAAATCGTTCCCCATGGGCTTCCATGTGGCCCCAATGTCTCAGACTATGCCAACCCCATACAATGTAAGAGATCATTTCTGGAAGTACGCAAAACAGTTTGATAATAAATTCAAGAAAAATCTAGAGAATAAATTTGTATTTGAAGAAATGATGTTGAACAGAATGATAAATCAAGATAACACATCCCATGACAAGTTCTCTACAAATTCACACCCTATAAAATATGACTATATGTTTTCAAATATATATTCGCCTAAATATCCAATTTTGGGAGTAGGTAAAAATGTTCAACTTACCGAAATGAGAAATATTATTCCCATTGACACTGCGCATGTGGGTCACTTATGTGGAGTGGCCAGTATTCGGGACAAGGTTCGATACGAGCACTATTATTCAACACGCGCCATGACCAGAGAAATAGCACAAAGGAAATTTGAAAATGTTGTATCAATTTTTAGTGAAATGGCTCAGTAATATCTTCACTTCAAAGTTAGATGAAAGGTAACTGTGTTTACCGAACTGATAAATTGCTTACAACCCTTCAAGAACATCGAATGATTCAAGGAACGAACAGAGGTGAAGTAATTATCTAGAGAATGCATCAAGCCATCTACATAGCACCATAAGCGTCGCTGAAGGTTCTGGACGCTGGACGCACTGAGTACCTCTAATTGAGAAAAAAACACTAAGGCAAGTGCTGTCAAAGGTATATCAAATTTATTGATACATGAATTCGTAATATCTCCTGGAAATATCCTCTTTTGGAGACGAATTCTTCGAATTCATCTCCAGGATCAAAGGATCAGCTCCTGAAGATGTAAACAAAGTGGTGAGAACCGTGACATCAGATATTAGAGTTCATGGACATTGGCATAAAAACTACGCATATTCCATTGAAAAATAAACAGTCAAAACCAAATAAAACGCTAAAAAAAGAGGAAAACTAGGTTGAAGAATAGTGAATTAAGAAGGATTAAGATGAGGTTCAGTGACATCCGCGTTGAGAGGCGTAAGTAAATCTAGCAAAGACGGTATAAGTGGAGAAGGCGGTGGAAAAAAGGTCCGTTCATGTGCCAGGTAAGTCCACTACGGGCTCACCATAGCCCGTGCTACTTGCCCCGCTCCTGTGCCAGGTAAGTCCACAACAGGCTCACCATAGCCCGAGCTACTTGCCCCGCTCCTGTGCCAGGTAAGTTACGGGCTCACCATAGCCCGTGCTACTTGGAACTTGTTCCGAGTAGCTGAATCTATAACAACAACAACAGAGAAGAAGGTGCCTTCTCCCACCGACCAGTGTGGGAGAAGGCACCTGGGAGGAGCGGTCAAAGTCAGCAGCAAGCTGTGGATCAAAGACTTCACCTAGAGTTTTCAAAGCGTTGTCGGCTGACTCCCTCTCCGAGACGAGAGGAGGTACGGGGACAGTCGGGGATTGAACTGAAGCTTTCTTACCTGCTGGGAAGGAAGAAATGGAACAACTAGGTTTGCGTTTATAGCTACAAGACACGAACAAGCCAGTAGAAACGTACTATACAACAGCCTCTGGTCTCCAGTGGTCACGGAGAACAAGAGCGGACACAAGGACGTCTGGGAGAACGTTGGATATTGGCCTGGACGGACAATTGTCCAGGAAAGCCAAAGGATATAGTAGTAGGCTGATAAGAATAATGAGGACTAAACATGAAAGGGGTTACAGTGGATCGAGAAAATGTTGGAGTTGGGATAGTTACACTTAGATGAAGGGCCGCAGAATACGGGAGAAGAAGGGTGGATATACCGGTCGATGAACCACAAGGAACACCCTCAGTTTGAGAGCGCAGAACACCCTCAGTTTGAGAGCGCAGAACACCCTCAGTTTGAGAGCGCAGAACACCCTCAGTTTGAGAGCGCAGAACACCCTCAGTTTGAGAGCGCAGAACACCCTCAGTTTGAGAGCGCAGAACACCCTCAGTTTGAGAGCGCAGAACACCCTCAGTTTGAGAGCGCAGAACACCCTCAGTTTGAGAGCGCAGAGGAACATAAGACAGGCAGCTGGTGGAGGTGTCACGGTCTATGTCCTGGAAATGATTGAGGGACTGATAATGGGATTAGGGTTTCACTATAGCCTGTGCTACATGGACATTTCGTTCTGAGTAAATAATCTAAAACAACAACTGATAATGGGAAGATGGTTGGGGAAGAGAGATGATATATAATTCACCAGCATACATCATGTCAGAGCAAGGGGAGTAACGTCTTGCCTCTGGGAAAGATATACGTTTATGATCTTCTAAGTCGAAGACAGCTCGTTGAAATTAATAGTGTGTGCACGTCCCGGGGTTGATCCCGGGCGCCGGCGAGAAACAATGGGCAGAGTTTCTTTCACCCTATGCCCCTGTTGCCTAGCAGTAAAATAGGTACCTGGGTGTTAGTCAGCTGTCACGGGCTGTTTCCTGGGAGTGGAGGCCTGGTCGAGGACCGGGCCGCGGGGACACTAAAACCCCAAAATCATCTCAGGATAAGATAGGATGGGCCTCACGGCAGTTAACGCAGCATGCTTGGGGAGAAGAGACCCTGGTCTTAGAATGAGACCAACAATATGTAAAGTAATTAGAACAGATGAATAAGGTGTCGCAGTAGCACGGACAATTTGAAATGGTTTAGATATAAGAAATAAAAGATACCTGACGAACCATGTACTTGGGAATGTGTTGATGATCGTACAACTGCAAGTAATAAGTGCCGTCCCAACAAGTGCGAACTTCACACTTCACCCATTAAATGGTGACTACCAACAGACTGTATAGCCTATTGTAATGACAGATTGAATAGCCTAATGTGCAAGTGGACATAAGCTTACCATAGCTTTACATTTTGGGGAACAATTTGATGTTTTCTTCTAAGGAATGACAACTGACGGAGCATAATGTTGACACATACCATTATGCTGACATATTATATAGCAATAAGAAGCTTTACTGGGGACGAAAGATTTTCCCAATGACGCTGTTTTCATTATGTTCTTTGACTTTTTTACATTATTATGCATTTAACAATTAGTCATGCTTCTTTCTGGGGTCATGAATTTTTGTTTTATAACATATATTATCATTGACAGCTACACAAAATAATATAAACAAGTTGAACATTTATAATTATGTCAAATTTAAGTCTCCCTTCAAGTTATTCTCATACACAAACAAAGCCTTATTTTTAAAATATCGTATTAATGCTTTGAATCATCCATTAAATAAATTCCTACAATCTTATCCCGAAAATTATGCAATAATGTAATCTTGTATTATGATTTGTGGCTCACTCCGGGTCATTCTATCTCTCCCACAGTGCCATTGTAAGAATTTTGGTCTGTAATAAATATTGACAATGCAGTTCACCTTTATATTGACAAAGGCATTTCACCTTTATAAACGCGCGTTAATGACACTAGGTAAACAAAAAGACACCTCTAACACTGTTTATGTAGCATAGACGTAAATCTGTTTATTAATGTATTCATGTTTGTAGGTTAGATTAGCATTTTAACAGCACTACAATCACCTTTTGTTGTTGATTGTTCAATAAATCACTGAACTATATGTTTAACAGATCTCTAACCCTGTCCATGGAGGACAGAAGAAAATGTATATTGTCTGGTTAGCTTTGTACATGTGTGGCCACATCTGTGGTAGTTAATAATAATAATAATAACAAAGGTCCACTTAAAGGACCTCAGTCACTCCCAGGGGACGTCTCCGACACTCAGCCTTGCAACCAGATTACAAGGATGTAACCTTGTACCCCCGAGGCTACAAGGCTGTAACCTTGTACCCCCGAGGCTACAAGGCTGTAACCTTGTACCCCCGAGGTTACAAGGCTGTAATTTTGTACCCCCCGAGGTTACAAGGCTGTAACCTTGTACCCCCGAGGCTACAAGGCTGTAACCTTGTACCCCCGAGGCTACAAGGCTGTAACCTTGTACCCCCGAGGCTACAAGGCTGTAACCTTGTACCCCCGAGCCAAATTCTGGCTCTCTGCACGTATTTTCATTTTGAAATTTTGACTTTTTATACCGAAAATATGCCAATTACTGAAAGCGGTGATGGGTCACATTTTGCCAAAACCCCCCTGCAGTTTTCAAAATATCCCAAACATCCCAAATTCGACGCCTGAGCCATATTTTGGAGTCAAATTCTGGCTCCCTGCACGTATTTTCAGTTTGAAATTACGACTTTTTATACCGAAAATATGCCAATTACTGAAAGCGGCGATGGGTCACATTTTGCTCAAACCCCCCTGCAGTTTTCAAAATATCCCAAACATTCGAAATTTGACGCCTGAGCCATATTTTGGAGCCATATTCTTGCTCTCTGCACGTATTTTCAGTTTGAAATTACGACTTTTTATACCGAAAATATGCCAATTACTGAAAGCGGCGATGGGTCACATTTTACCCAAACCCCCCTACAGTTTTCAAAATATCCCAAACATCCCAAATTTGACACCTGAGCCACATTTTGGATCCAAATTCTGGCTCTCTGCACTTATTTTCAGATTGAAATTTTGACTTTTTATACCAAAAATATGCCAATTACTGAAAGCGGTGATGGGTCACATTTTGCCAAACCCCCCTGCAGTTTTCAAAATATCCCAAACATCCCAAATTTGAAGCCTGAGCCATATTTTGGATCCAAATTCTGGCTCTCTGCACGTATTTTTAGTTTGAAATTACGAATTCTTTTACCGAAAATATATCAATTACTGAAAGCGGCGATGGGTCACATTTTGCCCAAACCCCCCTGCAGTTTTCAAAATATCCCAAACATTCGAAATTCGACACCTGAGCCATATTTTGGAGCCATATTCTTGCTCTCTGCACGTATTTTCAGTTTGAAATTACTACTTTTTATACCGATACCGATTAAACTACACATAAGGGGCATAACTGGCCGACCCCTCACAGTGTTCAAGAGAGAACTGGATAAGCACCTCCAAAGGATACCTGATCAACCAGGCTGTGACTCATAGGTCAGGCTGCGAGCAGCCGCGTCCAACAGCCTGGTTGATCAGTCCGGCAACCAGGAGGCCTGGTCGACGACCGGGCCGCGGGGACGCTAAGCCCCGGAAGCACCTCAAGGTAACCGAAAATATGCCAATTACTGAAAGCGGCGATGGGTCACATTTTGCCCAAACCCCCCCCCCCCCTGCAATTTTCAAAATATCCCAAACATCCCAAATTCGACACCTGAGCCATATTCTTGCTCTCTGCACGTATTTTCAGTTTGAAATTACGACTTTTTATACCGAAAATATGACAATTACTGAAAACGGCGATGGGTCACATTTTGTCCAAACCACCTTGCAGCAGTCATGTCATAGGCAGCGTAAGGGACGGACGTTTGAGGGTCCTCCCCTGCATTTGCACTCGTTATCGTGGGTGTAATTGTACCTCCGACAGTTTCGAAGCCTAATAACCAATCTGGGACACACACATACACACCAGGTGTGTCTGAAACTTGGTTAACACCTGCACCGGTGAATTACAAGTGGCATTTGTAGCCGTGTTGCTGACCTGCGAGGGGAGGCTGTTGATCAGGCCTCAGGCGTCCACTCCTCACTCGCCTATTGGAACTAAACCACACGTGTATCAGGTACATGACAATAGCTCTTGCGCCATACTACCGCTGAGCCGTGTTTGCCTTATTCTTCATTCGAGGACGCTAGTGATCACGAAACAATGCAGCCACAGTTCAGTGGAGAAACTTTGAGTCATGCCTTAACTCTCCCACTTCTACATTAGTTGATGTGAAATAGTATTGTGAGGATTGAGTGTGGTTAGAAGCTTTAATTACAAAACTGTGTGGATAAACAAAGGAGCCGTTGGTGTAAGGGCTCTGGTGTGGCACGCTCTGTTAGGCCTAGCATCTCGCCCGGCCAGGGAATGAGGATATTAT